GGCCCTCTTAGGAGGGCCACGCTCCTTACCAAACCTAACCCTAACCCTAACTAACCCTAACCCCTAACCCCCTAACCCTCTAACCCCCTAACCCTAACCCTGAATTTCTGGCAATAACAAATGATATGGTCTACAGATTCTGGTATTTGGCAGTGCTCACATAGTCCTGCTGGGTGTTTATTTATTAGTTGCATTGTTTTGTTCAGCCTTGTATGTCCAACCCTCAGTCTGGTTAACTGCTTACAACTTAACGACACTAAGACGGAGGTTCTAGTTATTGCACCGGATGAGTTTGTCCCTACGATCAGGCAGAGTATTGGTCCACTCTCCTCTGCTGCCCATTGCAACCTGCACAATCTAGGGATCCTCTTTGATCGATCCATGTCGTTTGAGCCCCATGTTAAGCAGCTGTCCAGATCATGTTTCTTCAACCGAAGAAATATCAGTAAACTGAGATCTGTAGTATCAACAGCTGAACTAGAGATGATCATACACACATTTATCTCTTCACGCATTGACTACTGTAACACACTTTTCTCATCACTCAGTGTATCTGCTCTTAACTGTTTGCAGGTAATCCAAAACGCTGCCGCCAGATTACACACCAGGACAAATCGACGGTCTCACATCTCTTCACTGGCTCCCTGTAGCTTTTAGGATACACTTTAAAATTCTCACTATCATTTACAGAACACTACACGACCAGGCTCCTACATATGTAGCTGATCTACTTCACCCATATTCACCCGCCCGCACTCTCAGGTCAGATGCTTTAGGTCTTGTCTGTCCCACGCACTCGCCTTAAGACCCGTGTTCTGTGTTCTGTTCCGTGTTCTGTGTCTGTTTTGTTTGTGTGTTCAGTGTTGTGTGTGTTCTGTGTGTTCGGTGTTGTGTGTTCTGTGCTGCGTTAGTTCCGTGCTGTGTTCTATCCTCCTCTTGCTGTTAATGAAGTAGAACCTGATAGCGTCCTCCATATACTTCTGCAATCAAACACAACGATAGATCCGTCTCGTCCACATTGTCTGGTTCCTCCTTCACAGAACTGCAATTAGACGCAGATCGGGAAGTGAGCATGAACAGAAGGAAGACTTTTGCTTTGGACGGCATTACTATCTATCTGTTGTGAGGAAGTGAAATTCTCTGACACTCATCATCACTGAGAGGGGGAAATAACAGCAAGTAAAGTAAACAAAATGTAGCCAGATAACACCTTGTTGTATATGTTGGGATCTTCTGAAGGGTCCAGTTACTCTTCCATGTACTATTAAATGAGCTGAATGCAAAGCTAAAGGGATCATAAACAAATCCACAGCTGCCATCAGTACTAACAGACCTTTATACTGATTTGTCCTGTTGAAAAATATGTACCATATGTACTTATTGGAGTTCAGAAGGAAGGACTTCAAGCTAGTTCACCTGATCAGCAGAACAAAGCCGCTGAGATGGAGCAGCTCTCATACCTCCACTATCCCAACTATCAGCCCAAACGCTTTTGTATTGTGCTGCTTTCTACAAATATATCACCTTGTGTGTAATGAATCTATATAATATATGAGCTTCACTTTTTGAATTGAATTACTGAAATAAATGAACTTTTCGATGATATTCTAATTCATTGAGATGCACCTGTATGTCTAATGTTTCTTCAATAATCTTTAAGTCTGTTCAACATTTTATGAACAAACCGTCTTCATTAGCTGCATTTTCATGGTGGGAAACTGAATAATGTGCACATCAGTGAAATAGTTTTTTCTGATTTGACACATTCAGGAACTCAGACATACGATAAATGTGCAAAAGAACGATTTAATTGGCAAAGCAGAATTAATTCAACAAAGCATTTTAGTATTCTATTGAACTTATATTGTATAAAAGGTCAACATGCTGTAGTTTGACAGTTTATAGTCGATTGTCCCTGAATGGATACACACAATATAAAAAAAGCCATAAATGCAACAATAAAACTGCTTTAAAATAGCATTATAAAACATTATGAAATCACATGTATGCATTTGTTTAAAAGAGCATAACATACAGATAATAATAATGGTAATTAATGGTTAACAGTCGTAGTAGGTAATTAGCGTTTCCCATTGTCTTGATTGCAGTTGAGGGACAACAGAGGAGTGAAGGAGAGGTTTACCCGGCTCCCCATTACATTAACACTTGAGAATGTAATTAAGAGTAGCCTGACAGTTTAAAGGCTGCAGAGGGACAGGAAGTACTGAAACGCTTCCTGTTTAAGTAAAAATCATGAATTTTCTGCCATCAAGGGGTGATACCATCAGCCGTGCTGAGCCTGGGGAGTGGAGAGGTCGCCTACTGTTTCTCCAGATGACGGTGCAGAGTCGGGAAACCAGCAGGACACATGCCAACACCAGCAGTGCAACTGATCGGACACAAAAGAAGTAAGGATATGAACCAGTGTGTGATTGGGTTAGTCAGCAGAACTTAAATCAACCTCCAAGTTTAAAGATGGATATCATTTTAGCGAGTATAGGAAGGCAGCACAATATGATCACATTATATCTGGAAGCAGCTGTCGAGCTGGCCTCCTTGATAGAATATGACATTGATACAGTGTGTGTGGATGTGGACTTGATTTGTTTGTTCCCATCTGTTCTGTTCATCCAGTATTCATGTAGTGTGAATGTGAGGCTGTGCTATAAAGATGCGAGTGGGGCTGGTGAAGTCACAGTTGGAGTGATCCAGTGTTAAACTCACCCATAAACACAGAGTTTGGAGTGGGATCAGCTGGGTTAAAATGTCTGAAGACGTTTCCAACCAGAGCCACGATCACAACGGGGTACACGGTCAGGATGTTACGCACCCAACGGTCCAGCACCCAGTTCTCAAAAAGGAACCTGCACACACAGACAGAGCAATGCTCAGCCAACTGTTCAATGTATTGGAGTGCAGTGATCTACTTCACTGATACCTTCTGCACTGAAGCTTCCCTTAGCAGCTGGAGTCTTAAGAAACATTTACACACATTTCACACTAAATATTCCAAAACTGATCTTTCTGACAATCATAAAAAGACAGCATGTGATCATACATTCAGCAGCTGCTATTAAATCAATTCATTAAAGTGAATCTGAGAAACTTTGAACTGGTTCTGAAACAGTCTCAAATGAATACTGATGCCTCAACATGAGCTGCAGAAGTAAATGAGACAGAAGATTGTCTATTTCTACCTAGTTATTTTTAATGCTGCTCATCGGTGCCACAGCGTCACATTCCTTCAGCTCAGACTCAAGCCGGCCTCTGATAGCAACCAGCCTGCCGCAGACGGACCCAGATCCAGCTATGCTGCCACTTTGGACCAGCAGTCAGTCCGAGCCCGGCAGCAGCGGATGCTCTCTTAAGGGACTCTGGTGCTCAGAACCTCTACGGCCTTTGTCCACAGGGACCACCAACATCAACACAAACTCTTGTAGTCATTTGAAGTGACAGACTCCCGATTACAGCAGTGTCAGAACTAAAGCTAATACTCTGATAGTATCACATCGATCACTCTTCTACTTGTTAAATACCTCATCCAATCAAAGCTTACCATGCCACTACCTCTGCAAACAGGATGCATAGAGAAGCTGTTGCTGCTGTGCTCCTGGCCACACCCCACAGGTGGAGAACCAATGAAAAGTTGATCAGAGAAGCGATGGAAGTCCATGTGGTATAGAGAGCCAAACCATTCTGGACCTGAACATATGAACATTTACAAGCACAAGAATGACATCATTCACAGGGGACGGTCTTAAAAAGTAAGACTCATCAGCAATACAGTGAATAAAGAGCACATGATCTACCAGCAGTGTCTCCACACACACACACACACACACACACACACACACACACACACACACAC